CCTACAAAGTGCACACAGTATGCAACGATATAAAAAATATTAAACGTAAAGGTCATATTATAATATTTGCAGAGTAAAATACATTTTTATTTAGGTTCGATCTATATTTGCAAAGATTTTATTCTGCATAAAAATTTGCGATCTAGTACATCCAAAGCCAAGTCTATTTACAAAAATTGAACATTCAAAGCAGACAACCCACAACACAGTGAATAAATTCTATAAAAAAAAGCACTAGAATTAAAAAACTTATATAATAACCTACCCTAGGTTTCCTATAGATAAAGTGTTAAGAAATCGATTGAATGAAAATGTAAGTAAAGCTCTTTCACGAGAGCCAGCAAGCAGTAGATAAAATTTAGGATGATTGGCGAATCTTTACTATAACTCGCTGCATGAAAACGAAAACACGAGCGTTCGTACAATATTCATCCGTGCGGACGTAAAATCGAGCGCAATCCTGTAAAAATACAAGGTTTTACCGTGGAGTTATATCAGCCCTTCTATCCCTCCATTGATGGCCGCCGTCGTACAATAACATTCCACTCCTTCCGCTTTTGTATTTTGTAAGTCAATTCGAAACATGAATCGTATAATAATTCAACGAAGCTAAGGAAAACACGTTGGATATTATTCGTCCCACCTAGCCCACCCTTAAACCGGACTCCATATTTATGAGAACGAAGCTTAATAGAAAATGATAGATTTCGAGTAAACTATTGTATTTCTTTAACTGAAAAAGGACCTCGCTACGTCCATTACATACATCTTGCAATAGCCGACGAATCGAACCTTGAACAATCGTCTATAAACGATTTCGAAGTAATTGTATTATTTCCACTTTACTTATGGTTCAGCGTACATTTTTAAACCTGGGAATAAAAACCCCAGTTAGTGATCCGTTCATTAATTATGTAAGGACAATTTTGGCCATTTTTTACCCACTGCCCTTGTGTAAAAACACGTAACATTTCTCAGACCCTCCCTCTCTCTTCTTACATAAGATGTTACCTAAAATTTCCTTAGAAAGCGTTAAATAGTCAAATGTCGTCAAAGAAAGGTTCAGTCACACTAAAACATAAATCAAAGATTTGTATTCTTTAGAAAATAATTACTTAGTCATTGGATAATCGTGTTATAATTAAAGGTAAGATTTGAAACAATCAAAAGTAAGGAGACAAATCAATCCCTCGTTCCTCTCACCCCTCCGACGTAAGATCATGTACAGATTTTTTAAACCCCTTCTTGGGACCCCTATGTAAATAATGAACGGTCCCTAACCCTTTAAAAAATAATTTCAAAGTTGGAAACCAAAAGTATTTAATATTTGTTAAGAGCTTCGAAAATAATATTGATCGAGACCATCAAGACCTTCAAGGTGTTCGAAAAATCTTCGATGGATAAAATTGCACGTGTCCACGCGTCCCGTGCCGCTTTTGCGTAAAATTATACCGGGTGGGAGCGGAATAATGTATGTAGTCCGCGGTGGAAACGGGCTGCTCGCAATTCCAATGAGAAAACTGAGTGCTAGGTGAGGTTCACTCGCATCTCGACGGATTTCTGTCTTCTCGCCTCTCATACATATTGTGATTACTTCTAAGAGAGAACGGGGGAGGAAGATGGAAGGCGGTCCTGTTGGGAAAAGAAAGCACGGCTCCTTTTCTCCCTATACAGGACGTTAATAAATATTTGATATTATTTTTCAGAATAAACGCGAATTCATGTTCATATATTCATAAGTATACTGTCGATGTTTATGCAAATTTGTAATATTGTAATAGAATGAATTGAAACTTAACCTTTTGTGGAATATTAATACATGTGGACGGTTACTTTTATATCAAAATTATAGTTATTTACGATCACAATTTTAGAATTAAAAAAGTGTACAATAATAAAGTGAGACAACATATTTGCACGTCAAAGTTGATTTACAGATATAGATTGCTTTGGATTGTATGTATTCGATATAAAAGAACCTCAAATTTAATTATTTATTATTCCGGTTTATATTTTAATTATGTACCTTGCATTTTGTTAAGTTAAATAGTCATGAAACACCCGGATTACCCTAAGATTTAATTTTCCAACTAATATGAGCTCTCTTAAGATGCGTGAGTGAGGCCAGATTAAAATTTGTATGATTTCTCTTTATGAATAAATCCTACGTTTACTTTAGAAAAGCTCTGAATTAATTTCTACGCCTAATATTTGCCTATTTCTTTTCAAGGGTTAAGTAGTAGTTGTTATAATTAGTTCCACGCCCGAGAATCTTATTAGTTAGACTATCGCAACTTGGGCGATTTCAGGAGAGCCAGAGATCATTCGAGGAATGAATAGAAGCTCGCAAGGCGAAATTAAAGTCGATTCTGAAAAGCGGACCGCGGTGATCGATCGGTGACGGTAACGAATCGTTCCACTGGGCAGGAAGAACGATCTCATCGACGAAGTTTCCATTTCCGTTCGCTCTATCGTTTTCCTAATGCCGATCCGCGTGCCTTTCCACGAATCACCCCTGCCGTGGATTCTCGTTTCCGCGCTTTTCCGCCCGCGTGAATTCCTCCCCCCTGCCCACGGCGACGTCCGACCGATGCTAAATAGTAGAAACATAATTCCGTGAGTGCAGGGGAATCGCTTTATCGTGCGGAATAATGGCCCGCATTCACGGCTGCGGCCCTCATAATTCACTTCCTTATATTGCGCTTTTCGGAAATTGCACGTGGCTCCTCTCAATCGCTCATCCATCGATCGTCCACAAGCTTTGCATCGCATTCTTGTACGAGAAAATCGTCTCTGGCGATACTGGGTTTTTCAAAAGAAGCCTGACGGTTTTTAATGCTGATAAATGCAGAGTATTTATTTTTTTCAAGTGGAATTTCTCTTGTACGAACGTCTGTCCTATGCCAAATAATTATTACCCGCTTTTCTCTTGTTTGTTCGACCGCCCTTTTGTTGGCGCGTAATTTCGTCCATTTAAGTCGCATAAATTATACGTCGTTGAATCTCATCGAATTTCGACACACTCGCGATGCAGGATCTACGGTAAGGATAGAAAACGTGAGAAAAATTGTGAAGCGAAATTTTCTTGACTTTAAGTGACGTTGATGTACGACCATGAGTTCCAGGAAACGCTTGTAATAATACCAGCTCTCTTTACTGCTACGTATACCAACGGCGCCAACGTTTGGAAAACTCCCTAGCCATAATTATGGAAGTAAATAATACATATTTCTATGCTCATATCTAACCTTTATAGGGACTTTCTTCGCATTGGCAAATTCATAGAATTAGAAAATTCTAGAAATTTAACAATGAATCGACGACCTCAGTGATTATTGCATAAATGTTAAATACAGTATAGATTTCAGAATTAAAAATTCTAAACATTGAACAAACCAAAAGGACGTTGTTTATACAATTTTGTTACGATCTTTGATGGGAAACAGTCTAGTAGTCCTGCACACTCTGATAAAAAATAATAATAGTAAATCATTAAGATTATCTTCAATTGGAAAATGTTCAGAATGTCATATATAGGACAGACAGTAAGCATAACCGTTAAATAAAATAAACTATTCGATATTCTTGATGTGAGAAATTGAAAATTAAAAATTTGTCTCTCACGAAATTAACATGTATGCAAAGTATAACAACAATACAGACTATATAGAGTGTCTGGTGTCTCGCTTTAATATTGTACACTCTTCAATTATAAAATGTATCGTGATCATAAATATCCCTGAAGGGGTTAATGATTAATGACAAAGAGTAATCTAATCTTCGTTAACCCCAAAAGTAACCCAATCTAAGGTCCGACCGATTAATAACTGGCGTACACGTTTCCCAACAAATCATCCTGTTGCAATTTTGCTCAGGATTACCTAAACGATTAGATTTAATTGTCCCACGATAACATGCAATTTTATATGTGTACGTATGGTTTTTTTGTATTACGTAAATTGCCGACGCAGCGTCTCCCGTGCAATCAAGATTGATTTAGATCGCACTTTGTAATTACGAATCGGGCCTCGGCATGAAAGCAGAGTATCGTGTCTCCTCCCGTGGCCTCCTCTTTTTCGTCTCTTCCTGCGGCTTGTACCCTGGCTTTTGTGCTCCGACAATGCTTTTAATTACCCGTTCCGCGACCGAACGAACGATCCCAGTCGTAGACCACCGATCGTTTCGCTGATTGGTGCCCCGACCGATGGGACTTTATTACGAGACGTAATTGTCCTGATAAAATATTCCTCGTCACACGGCGCGTAATCGATGCTAATTGGTTAAACCGACCGCCGATTCGACGTGGCGTGTTACTTAGTCGAGGAATTACCTATCCTCGTGCGAAGATCAATCGCCAACTATCGGCATTTATATACGAAGATGGATTATATATACAAATAAGGCTATCTCAAAAATTTCTTTCGTGAATTGCACTTAGTTACTTAATGTGATAATATTAATATAAATAGACAACCTAATTTCATAGATGCAGTAACAGTATTAGAGCAAAATGGATCATACACTATTCAATTATGTAATATAGAATATAAAGTATTGGGTATGTATTACTTATTAATAAAAGGAAAGAAACTTTTGGGATAACTTAATATTTCCAGACTTAGAGCGTTTATTCGAATGGATGTTGTGTCCTTTCGAGGATGCTCTTGAGATTATTTAGGTCCTCTTTATGAAGGTCTTCTTAACATTAGTGATGTCCGGCAGCGAAAGGCTTAAATAAAAATCTGGGATTGCAAGATATCTCTGAGTTTTCAATGTTAAAACTATTAGTGATTCACTTCCTGAGTTAAACATTTTAACAGCATCGAAAAAATGCTCAGTATTTCTACAGATAACAAAACTAAACACGAAAAAGTTAGAAATTGAACCTACTAGAAGTTAGTTTAGACCTTCGTGAAAAACTATTTTCATAAGCTAGAAGATATTCTTGCTTGCATAAGAAACCCTCCCGGCGAAAATCATGAATATTCCCACGTACTCAGATGTCAAATATTGTAAATCCAGAGTGCAAACCAGGGAATCTAAGCGCAGGATCACAAGTGCGTCCATCCGTTCCGGGAATCAACGACGGTGAATCGACAGCGCACTATACATATCGGCTCGTAGTTTTAATTAAGAGCGAAGAAGAGAATTATCAAAGCGTCCACGAGTTATTAACCGTGTCCGTGGTCGTCATATTGCAGCAATTATACAACTATTCCCCTCGGATTCCTGGGACGCGATTGATTCCCGTAAGGCCGAGCGTCGATTGAATTCAACCGAAACGGGCAATTAAAACCGCGCCGTTGGAATCCAGAGTGGATTCCGCGCTGGAAAGATAGAAGGGGCAAAGAAGTTGATGGCACCGAGGAGAAGGACGGACAGCTTCCGCGGTGACACGCGCGGATCCGTGACTTCACCGACGAAGAAGCCTGTTAGCCGTCTGGCGGCGCATCAAGGCGAGACTATCGTCTTCGGGGCTCGCGTCTGAAGGAAACAATTACTCCCAAAGCGAGTGCATAAATAAAGAGAAAGAGAAACGGCCGGACGATGCACCCACAATGCCCCGTCGATCCTGAGTGGCTGACTGATTTGCATCGGCTCCCTCGACGAGGTCGAGACAAAAGCTGGAATCGACGTTCCTTCGCGAAAAGAACTTGCGCCGATCCAAGAAATCTCCACAGAACTCGCGGACGGGAACACGAGCGTTAAAATTATCTGGATTCCCTCTCATCAAGGGATAATTGGAATCGAAAAAGTGAACTCTTTGCACTTCTGTATCGAGTGTGACTCGACATCAGTTTTTATCTCAGGAGCTCCTTTGCCGAGTCCCACTCGACATACTTTTATATCTAAATCAGCATAGGTATGAACATATGATAAACACGATCATTTAGATAGAAAGCCTCATTTCATTCTCGTGCATCCCGAAAGAAAACACAAGGATTGTGCAGTTTGTTCAAACTGAAAAATAGCTGGAGGAAGAAAATCAGGATTGCGTCCTGGAAATTGTTTCGAGAAATATCATACACTTGAAAATTACAAGATACTGCAAAAGTGTTATTAAAACTGATATTTAAGTGAATTTGTTTATTTATTTAAATTTCCTTAATTTTTTAGTTAAAGTAAATGTCTAAATAAAACAATTAAAAGCGTTTGGAGCTGCTGGTAACGAAATTGAAATATAATTCGGAGTGCAAAGGGTTAATAAATAGCGAAAGGTGAATTTTTAATATTTTCGTGTCAATAAAAAGTATCGTGTCGAGAAAGAGTACCGTGAGTCGAGTTCATCCGAACGGAGCTCGCAGAGCGCGGCTTTTTACCCGTGGTAGGGAGGAAACGCGCTTCAAGGGGTGACTGTGGCTGTCGACGGGTATTCTGGAAAAGGAGAGAACCGGGGGTTGGCAAATACGTAGGACGCATTCAGATCAGTCTTGCAAGACGAACGAAGGGAGGTCCAGAAAAGGTTTCAGGACGCGTCAGCAAGAAACATCAAAGTCCGTGCCATTTCCTCCGGCCGAATACAAATGAAACACGAGCGATTGTATCGTTCTCGCATCGATACCCCTGCAACCTACTCGAAACACGTTTGGCAAACGGATAAAATAAATCTGCTTCGTGGGCTGTCTCAGAGAATAAAGTCGAATCGTTTAGTGAAATTTTGCGTTTCTTTTCAATGCAAAATTTTCTTCTGAAAAACTATAATGCATGTACAAAGATGATGGCACCGATTCTAAGTGACTACTAGTTCTTTAAATTCAGCAATTTGATAATCGTCAAAATTAATTTACCCCAGATAAATTTAAAGAGTTTTGAGATAAGATTTAATACAGATATGTAATGTAAATTTTCATTCCGGTATTTGATATTAAGTTTGTAGTTTTGTAAAAAAATATATGATTGTATAATACTCTCGTTCACCTTTTCTAATAATTCATAATTCGAAAGGGTATACACTTATTCCTTGGCATGAGACATTCCTTGAGACATGAAAAAATCTATGGGAATGATATAGTACACGTTACAGTTTAGAATATTGGAGATACTTTAATTAAAATTTTATTCTTTACCTATACCTGTAGAAAGACGAATTCGCATAAACATTCACATTCTACTAATAATTATTGCGTGAAATAAGAAGCTACTGCCTTAATGTTCTTCCAGTTTAAAAATGAACTACTTGTCCCGGGGTGGTACATCGAGAAAAGTGAATTGACCACGCTTTACGATTCGTCTCGATCTGAAATTTCACGTTCGAAGTGCAGATTTGACTCGCAATAAAATAAATACAGTCTAGTCGCGAAGGGAGCGACGCATGTAAACGACGTTCCCGTGGAATCGCGAAACATAGCGAGCATAATACGCGAGACGGAAAATAGCGGCAATACCGTTGAGTGGCCGGAATGGTGGCCTGGGGGACCTATGGGGATAAGGATTTGCTCGAAGGGGAAATGCTCGTGCGAGTGGCACATGCGGGAATGCATATGCAGGGAAACAGCGATCGCAGGTGCGGCGATTCCTGGCGCCTCGCAGGGCTCCTCTTCGTCTAATCTCGATCTTTGCTAGACGTAGGTATTCGTCTCCTTGCATAGATCATCCGTCAAACTTCCATTCAAAATAAAATGACTGCGTTCTTCGATGGAGTCGAGTTTTTATTCGGGATGAATAAATCTTTCTTGTTGAAACTGATTCCTTGTTTATTATGTCGTTTAAATCTTATTAAAATTATTAGCCCCCTTAGGGTTTTCATTATGCAGATTGAAATTATGATTTCTTTTTTGCATAGTAGACTGTTAACTTTGTCAGTGAACATGAGTATGCGTTACTGTGATTCATCGTGGATTATTATGAAAAATTTTGATATTTTCGTTGTGTCTTCTGAATCAATGTTTGTCGTTTGCAATGTTGTACACGATTAAATCCTGATTCTCGAACGATTGCTGCGAGAAATATTAATTTGGAGGTTGTTCTTTCATCGGTCAATTTCATTTTTAAAAGATATGCTACTCTTCAATATTAATTTGTGTTATGCATATCCACTTAGAATGTTAAACCATCGTTGCAAATGACCACTACAGAATGAATCCTAACATGTGGGGAATTCATGGTGCCAGAGGACCATGAATCTCTACGTTTTCACCCTCAACGACCAAGCAATCTTTACAACTATGATATTATTATTATTATATCCAATATAGTTTACTAAAATCATATTATGCTGACTCAGTTCGTAAATAAAAATTGAAGTACAAAACTGGCTGTATGAAAATCACAGGTGTAGAAATTAGTTCCAAGCCTTTCTAAAGTAAACTTACCATTTCTCTATAAAGGAAAGCCATACGCTTTTTAATCTTCCCTAAATTAAAAACAACGGAGGATCCATTCCAAAGAGATATTATTGTGAAAACGAGAGATCGATACTCCAACGTAACAAAATAGTAAGTAAATATTTGTATCTAAACTACAATCATGAATGATCGGATAGAAAGGAATATAAGTAATGTGTACATCTAATATACACCTTTTCTTGAGCCCTCAATGCACCACTGTGTCCACGTATGCACGCTATATTACACATCAAAAAAAAAAGAGAATAAAGAATATGAAACGGTCTTAAGCAATGTGAAATTTCACGACGACGAAACGATAATTTGTCACGCGAATCTGGACATGGTCGTCTCTCGAAATTTACTACGACGATCTCCATGATGGAAATTCTTTCCATATTCCCGTAGACGAGGGTGCCAGACTCCTCGCGACACGCTGCTGATACTCGAGGGCTACATAGTCCGCCCCCTTCCAAGATCAATAATACCATTCCCGTTTTCGGAGCATGCGCGACGAAACAACCCCCGTAAGCGAGCTGGTTTCCACCCCCAGATGAGCTACGCTCCACGAACGCCTTGCACCCCTCCATGCAACATTCATAGCGCCATCAATATTATACGCGCGAAATAATAACCTGTGCATTTATTATGAGGGGATTGGCGATTCTGCAACGGTTCCGCCGTACGAGAGGTTCGTAAAAAAAAGGAAAGGAAACGAGAGGAACGACCGATGGGACGGTGATAAATTATGCGTGTAAACTGTTATGCAAATCGATCGTTCGAGCGCGAGAAATTGCTGAAAGTGATTGATCGCGGCGAAGGAGCGCTTCCGTGAATAGGAAAAGAACGCGTTGACTAGGAATTGGATTGTTTCGACGACCAGAGGTGGACGGATTTGATTCGAATAATGGATGACGAACGAAATCGCCCTGTGAGAATTTATTCGACTAATTTTTACGAAAGGTTTACATTAATTTTCATGTTTATATTTCGTTATTAGAGATTGTCGATACTTGCATGGGATTTCTCTTGCATCCTCCTTTTGTGCGTACATTTTATTCTTTTATTTTAACAGTAAACCTACTAAACGACATTTTATTTATATGTACCTAATATGACCATTATTAAACTGCCGATTTTTATGCATTTATAAAATGCATCCAATAAAATATGACCGCAACGTGAAGTATGCGATAAAAGAGTGCACTAAACGCTCAAAGAAGTCAACGTGAGACGTCGCTATCGAGATAAGAGGTTACGATAAATTTCTTCTCCTCGATTTCAACAAGAATCGTGTCTAAAAGAATACTGAATCCAATTCTACCATTGTCCACGATGCCGAAACCATCATCGAAAGGCCTGTTCAGCAAAGAGACGAAAAAGTATTTGATGAGGTAATCGTCGCGATCGTGTTGCTCCGACCACGTCCACGTCGATCGAGAAACACGAAGGTTAATCCTCTGGTGTCGTTCTCCAAATACAATGTTTGCATTACAGCAGAGGATGGGAGGGTAGCGGGGAGAGACTAGTTACGTCATAAAATCTTTATTACCGTCAGGAATCCCCGAAAACGATCCTGTCTCGCGCCTGTAATCTCCTATCCACGTATTCCCTCGTACATATCTCATCTATTTTCCTATTCCTTCACTCTTCCATCTCTTTTTACGATCAATGAGAAAGACGAGATACGTCGTTTTTACCTAGTCTATTATAATCCAGTTGGAAGAAGCTACGTATGTTATTATAGAATCACCAGATGGAATAAATACAATGGTGTTGGAAATAACGATACGCAAAATTCTATTCGAATGTTAAATGCCAAATAGAATAAACGTGCAACGATTTATTCATGATATTTATTTAACTGCCAACTAAATTTTAATTTTTTCATTATGGAACATCAAGTTCTCTAATTTAAATTTAAATTTTGAATCTATTTTTTTTCTGTCTACAGGTTAGCTTAACAGACAATGGCACTGCTGTGTTTTAAATGTAATTATTTATTACGTAAATGTAATTATTATTCTTATCATGTAGTATAATTACTATATTAGCTTATAATGTATTTAAATATGTAGAACATATTTATTGTGTTATACTACTTTATAAGAAAATACATGACAAAAATTAAGAAGAAATTTACTTATTTTATACCAAATAATTTTAACTTTTTCACAAGATAATGTATGCGTCTTAATTATACAATGTCTCTGATAACCAGTAACCATATTGATGACTATTGGCATCAACCTAAAATGTCAAAGTAAATGCCCTGCAAGTTGCCCTTAGATAACAAATTCGGGCCATAGAGGGTTAAAAAGTATATAATTTCCATGTTCTACATTTCCAAAGAAACTTTTGCACCGATTCAATTTGATATCCCTACCTCATTTTATTAATTTGTATCGTCCTTCCATTTTTATATCTTCCAATCAACTGAAGTTTTCAGTAAACTTTATTCCACCCGGTGATCATTTCCACCTTTCCCACTCCCTAACCCCTCCCCTGGTCCGATGCACGCCACCTAGACCCCGTTTATCAAAAAGTTGGATATAATTTATGGAAAACGAACTACTATTTTTTAAGCACGCACTTCTGGGGCCCGGTGTTCAACTGGATGATACCCATAGCGGCCATAGCCGACACGCAAAAGCATCCGAGAATCATTAGCGGCAAAATGACTTTGGGTGAGTTCTCCGAGACGAGTGATCGGTCGCGACGCGCGGACCTTTCCGGGAATTCATTTCGCCTCTCATATAATAATCACGCATCGCGACGGAAAGGGACGCGACGAATGACGTCCAGGGGGAGGGTTTGTCGAGAGAAGGCCAGGAGCGATTCTACCGTGATACTAATGAACCTTCAGCTTCGAGACCACTAAACGTTCGTTTTGTAATTTAATTACTATTCGGAAGTAGAAAAGAGTATTTTCTTTTTGTTCTTGAAAAATGGTACAACTCGTGTAAATAATCTCCTAATATCCTACTAATGAACCTTCAGCTTCGAGACTACTAGACGTTCGTTTCGTAATTTAATTACTATTCAGGAGTATAGAAGAATAGTTTATTTTTAACAGACTTCAAAATATCGGAGGAGGACTCAATTCGACATGTATATTTTTTTTCTTTGTTCTTGAAAAGCGATACAACAAGTGAATAATCTCGTAATCACATAGGAAAGCCAAATATTTAGTGCATTTCGTGACTTTGTTGCAGAGAAAAATTTAATTTCGTTTCACTTTAAGAATACCTCAAGCTGATATATCAAACATTTCTCTGTGAAATGAATCGAAAAAATTACCAAATGTACTTTAATACATATCTAAAATATCGTCAAAGTTAAAAAAGATTTAATAAATAAATCCTTCTTTATAATATTTCAGTTCGTTTTTCCTACTTGAAGTGACGAATACCAATTTTATATAGACACTCCAGTAATTCAAAATTTTCATAGAAATTTCCAACTCAATGCTATATCTACCAACATGAACTTGAACTTCTAGAAAGTTGAAAGCACCGAGAAATCAATAAATTAAGATTTCATTACCAATAATACAGAAATTGCTAGGGTCTCCTTCGAAACTGTCTCTCTAGATGACCCGTTCGATTTTCAGCACTGGCCCTCTACTCCATGGTATTCATGAGGTTCGCGTGGAAGGTCCAGCCAAGAAATTTGTTGCTGTTAGCGTGCCACCTAGTCAATACCTCTGCACAACTCGCACAGGGTTACAGATACATCGACTACTACTACCTCTCGCAGCAGAACTCTGTGAAAGAATAGCCAGACGAACAAACGTTTGTGTTTTTAGCTCTTTCACTTCTTTTAATCAACAGCTTTGTACTTCTCAATAAAATTTTTAACGTTCTTCTTAACCAAGGTCTTTTCTTCTCTAACCTTTCTTTTCTGCGAACGAGTCTTCCTTCTCTGTATCTGTATTCGGGTACATGCTCCAGAACTCAACAATTTAAATTGACTATTGTTATTATTAAGCTGGGCTGCCTGATTTAGATCAGTATGTTTTCCACATTCACCTCATGTAATAGTTGCTATACTGTAGATGTTTATACATTTATGGTAATTAAAAATATTGAGATATGTATAAGAATGTACAGAAATACAAAAGTATATAAAATATCAAGAATATTATACATGTTATAACGCTTAATAATTAAAACATACATACATACACCCTCGTTCACAAGTATGTGGACATCTTTTTAATTGAAATGAGTATCTAAAAAATTATATTAATAAATGAATATATTAATAAATATTACTTATGTTTCTGTATTTAGTTTACAGTATAATACTAGATTATAGTGCACATTCCATAATAATAATTTACGGTGCATAGTAATTATTCATTGAAGTTGGTAGATGTCCACATATTGATGAGGTAGGTGGACATTCATTTAGGTTTCTATTCCTATTCTGTATCCGTGAAAATATGAATTTGCATAAACATCGTCAGTCTAGTTATTATCAATGATTTCCCATTCCCAGCTACCTCCAGCGATATCCTATTAGATTTAGGCATTCGTCAAACAAGTGACAGGGTGTTTCTTCCTAGTAAACTGATATATTACCTCGAAATTGTTCAAGCGGTGCACATTCGAAGACATTCAACGATATCTCAACAGAGACCATCGAAATTTTTAAAGAAACCTTGAAATGGTTACGAGAGTAATGTATATAAAAGTAAAGAAACCTTAAAACTGTGGAAATACATAGCTGAATCTGCAACTGGAGCGAACAGAATCAGGACATCGCTATTCGACAAACCCACCCCTGATCATCCCCTCGAGCGCATTTATTTTGTCGTTACTTTCCGCAGGAGCTTATAAATCAGCCAAAGCGTTCGCGAGATGTTTTCCCGAGCTTTCATGAAAATGTAAAGCAATTCCGCGTCAAATCAACCGATACTCGTGATCCCTGGCTCTCTTTCAGTATTTTTCTTTTTTTTTTCCTGGTCAGCCCTTCCCACCGCCCCCTCCCAGTGGAGCGAGAAGCAAAAAGGGCACTAGCTTATTCGTCGTAGCCCCAATTCGATGGACGAATGTATAAGGAGAGCAATAATTTTCTAGGGTCGGCTCTCCTTCTCTATTCCCGTTTCCCGCACGATACCACCGCCTCGAGGAGGGGCACTCGATCGTGCTGGGGTCATTTTATGGGATCTGGCACGGATCAGAGGCACGAATCCATCCCAGTATTCCGGTTTTTCTCGAAACGCTAAGCCACGGCGTGTCTCCATCCCGTTCTGCTCTTTGCATTCGTCCTGTCCTAAAGCGCCAGGGGACGCGGAGTCCGCCCTCGCGTCCCTGAATAAATATATATGGGCTGATTAGCCCTGCTCGGCTTCGATCATGCGTTTCTTCCCTTTATCTACTTCTTTTGCATCCGGGTGACGTCACCTGAACCTTGCGAAATTAACGACGAGGCTGAAGACGCCACGATCGCCAAGGTTTCGAATTGCCAAGATTTTGAATGTTGATCCCTGAAGCAGTGACAAAATTTTCACCTATCGAGTCCGAGAAACAGTTTTCCGTACTATTTTCCGCAAGATTCACTCTAGACTTTTGGCTTTCCAGACGCATTCTTTCGTTTTCATGCGAATTGGAGTATTCCTAGCAGACATCGAGCCAGGATGCAGGCGTCGATAGTTTCTTCCCGCGGAAGCTAACCCTAATATATTGGATTGAGTTTAGAGGGGGTAACGCGACTCCGTTCAAGGGTGATTCTCCGAGGGGGTAGGGGGGGGCGAGGGCGGTAGGAAAGTTACGGGCCATAAACCATCCTCCAGTCACCGAAATTGTCCTGAATGCGCGGCCGCTTCCACGTGCAAGTGCACGCGTACTTGGCACTTATTGCGACTTGTTTACTGGCAACCGTGGACTTTCGGAGTAATAGAATGTCGATTCTGCGATCGATGGATCTCGTATCGCGACAACTTTCGTTTTGAGATTAAAGCGAGTGGCTGGTGAGGTGTCTTTGTCTTTGTGAAAGACTTTGTTCCTTTTATGATTAATAAGGAACATTACTCAACTATTACACGCCGAATTAAATAAAATAAGATGGTGTATCAAGAGCATTGAAAAACGTTCGACATGTATTTTTTTATGTCAGCTGATAATCATGTTCAAGGGGTAAAAACTACCCTCGGAATTCTGAGCGAAATACCTATTTAATTAAATTTTTGTGAAACTAACATAGACAGAAAAGAATGTTGAATACCAAAAAAATTTGATTTTTAACGAACAACAACATGCGCTAAATGTAAATGGTACCAAAACATAAGTGGCGCGATATAGCTAACTACATCTCTTTTCTATAAAATTTATTCTTGTTAAATATGTTTTTGTTGACTAAAAACTTGGTCAATTCAAACAATGGATAAAGCCAATTAACAGTAGTTGTTGCTTTTCTAAAATAATATTTGTTTTTAATGATTCAATGTATGTATTTGGAATGTGGCGAATCATTCAAAAAATATCTGACACGCAGGTAGTCCAAGTTGAGAACCGTCGTGTGTATGTAATATGAAGATAAGATGTCCCCCATGTTCCCATGTGTCACAGCCCTCTATCGAGGATTATGTTGCCATCTACGATGGCGCACCCCCTGAGCGAAAACATCGCGACGAACCACCCCAACCAGTCGGAATCCCTTAACCTTTTGCACTTTCGTGCTCGCTGCTGGTGAAACTCCATTTTTTTTTTAAGCTTGAGAAGATCTCTGCCTCTAAAATCGACTGACAACAGAAATTGTTTACCGCTGAGATAGTCAAAACAGAATTTTACTCGAATCTTTACTCCAGGTATTTAAAATACAATTTTGTTTTGGATTTCTTCTCACAAGGCATTCAAAATGAAACAACAAATTTACGTGATATTAATATTAACAAATTCCTTAACCCTCGAGGGGAGAGGATTCCGAAACCTAAGTACACTATTTCCAAAATAAAATTAAAGAACGAAATTATATTTATCCATAATTTTAATAAATTGAATGGAGAGTTTGAAGAGTCCCTACGTAAAAATCGAAGCTATGTAAGAATGGTTCCAAGTTGAAGATAAATATTATCTAATGTAAAACAATTCTTTTTCTCCACGATTGCGATTCTAAAAGTATACCGAAACGATTCGAGCTGATCAAAGCGAGAAGAGGCGGTGATGAAAATGGCACCCTCATGATTTTTTAACACCGGACGTTTTCACGGCCGTATGGCGCGCGGTTGTGCCCCAGTTACGTGTTATTTTTCAGGGGTGACTCGAGCACTTTTTTTTATGAATCCACCAGGAATATTCCTTTCCCTCCACGCGCGAACATCAAAACAGACATTACGTTTTACTTCGCCTCGACAGCAGTTATGTTTCTCTATCAAACCCTCGGCCAACTGTTACTTTGTCAACATTGAGTTGAAGAAATGTGCAAACAAAATTGCTGTTTAAGTAAAGGAAGAAACATGTGTGACAGAGTAAGGACCTTTGCTTTTTTGCTCGCTGTATTATTTTCGGTGTTGATACGATAATTACAATATGACTAGTTTTTTTAGTATATAAAAATTGGACGAAATACTCGTGATAGGCTGTCCAAAGTGAAATATTAATATTAATTTAATATTGATATATTCCCCATATCAGCATATGGCGCAAATGCGTGAAATCGATAGGTTTTAGATATCGCAATTCATTTTGTCGGTATGTTCCACAATGACCTCAACAAATTAGCAAGAATGTTCCTTGTAAGTCAAAGAACGATAGAAAACAGAATACGATGCATTTGTGATTAACTCATTCACTGTTAGGCAAATTTAAAGTGTTTTGCGTTGGACACCAAGATTTAAGTTAGTATTAGTATTATTAGTTATTAGATATCAGTAGGATATCATTCAGAAGCCATGAATACTACAACAAAGAACGCTACCGTCTTAAATATATGAATTGACGTTGTGAGTATGATGTTATTGTTACATGTAATATTTGTAAAGAGGAAATGCAAGCATCGGATTGTGAATATGAATTGACGTTGTAAGTGTGATGTTATTGTTACAGTACCGTCTTAAATCGTCGCTGCAATATCCAAAATTCGGAGTAACCTCGAGAAATAGCGTTTCCTTTTTCTCCCCCGCGACGGCTCATTTTTCCGCCCTTTTTCCCCCTTTACCGAGAAATGTTCTTATTTTTCTCCTTCTATAGTCAGCATTCCGTACGGTCGGTCCAGCGTGTCAGCCTAATGTATGTCCTGCATCGCGAGGGTGCGTTTGATTCATTTCGCCGAGGGGGTTGCTCGTCAGGCCGCATTCGCCACGCGTTTCAAGAGCCCTTTTTCCTCCGTCGTGCTCGCGAGTGAAAATCCACCCCCGAAAGACTTTACACGGGCGTCATAAGCCGGTGCACTTAATTTAAAGATCATCGACCGTCGAAAAGTCGACCCCGAGGGTCCACGCACCCTCTCTTCCTCGCTCCATTTTGTTTTCTCTCTCCTAGACTTCGCGAGACTTCATGGATTTCTGCGGGGACGAGCTTTACAGTCTGTGCATTCCGCTTTACAGTTCATTTCACTTTTCCCGCCCGATCGCACGACTTCTCCAACCCCCGTTTTCCTAGATCTCGGGAAACTCTTTTAATTTTTACCCTTCGCCGAACTTGGTTTCCGTCGAATCCGTACCCGTATCAGTTAGCGCTTTCCACTTAATTGCTTATTTATCGATCCGAACGGTTTGTGCCTCGAACAAAGAGACTATGATTAAAGAGTTCGTAAATAGTAGCTTGCGTTTGATC